AAAAACTTCATTAGAATTGGTCCAGCCAGTTTCGAATTTCAGTTAGCAAGATGCAAATATAGATAAAAGGTGAATATATAAAAATTAATTTGTATTCAAATGTTTTGCGAAACAATCGGTGAAAAAGCCTAACTTTATAATCTACTATAATTAATTTATACTTCATTCAATATAAACCGATGCCAATTAGAATTTAATAACGGAAAGCTTCGTATTAATTAACATATTGTTTTAGATAGGATTGTTGTCGTATTATATTGTCCAGATTTGATTTCAATTTAAAAAATGGAATAAGAGACAAAAAAGCCAGCCAAGTGCGAGTCGGATTCGCGCATGAAGGATTCCGTACCATCGTAAAACACGTTTCTAGTAGGGTAGCTCCCTTTAATTTTAAATCTATTTCTATTTTTATTATTTGTTGTTATAGCGGCAATAGAAACACTCATTCTGTGAAAATTTCAACAGTCTACCTATTACGGATCATGGTATACAGCCCGCTGACAGACAGAGGGACAAACGGATGGACGGATGGACGGACGAACAGCTGAGGCTTAGTAATAGGATCCAGTTGATTACCCTTTGGGTACGGAATCCTAAAAATTGTTTGGATGATAAAATAAATCTTGCTTAAACAATGATCATATTTGCATATTCGTGTACTCCTACGCCACTTAGGAATGAGGTGACATATTTGACAAATTACAAGGCGGGAAAGTTAATTTGTTATAAAAAAGCAAAAGTTAAAGTTTTTTCCGAAATAGTAGTTATAGTTGATATTAATTAGACTAGAAATAAATCAACCAATCTCTGGATATACCTAAATATAAAAATTAGTTAAGTTTAGTTAAAAAAATGAGAAATATGTTTTTTCAAGAGAAATTAAGCATTGCTTTGTGTATTTATAATAATCTAGAAACCGATAAACTTTCATTTAAAACGCAGCTTCTCAATTAAATTACATTGTGTAACAAGGAACTTCACCTCAGTCACAACTGGCTTAATATTAATTAACCATGCTTGCTGCAGACATTGCTATCATATTATATTGTGCAGACAGATGACGTGTCGGAGCGAGTGGCAGTCGCGATTGATTGCATTACAGCGAGTCTGGTTATAACAGTGCACTTGTAGTTAAAATAATTAGTCCGTCTGTTAGTGATCGCGTTACTTATATGTTTAACTTGACAGATTGAGAACATTTAAACAATACCGGCCTTACTTACAATCGTAGCTTATCTTACTTAAATTAAGTAATTATTATCTCTACACTTATTTTTTCTATTATCATTAAGTACAACAACAAACACTCATGCCTGTCACCCAGAGGGGTAGGCAGAGTCTACGGACTTCCATTTGGCGCGATCCTGACACACCTCTCTCGCCTCCTTTACATCCATATATCTACGCATACACGCTCGTCGCTTAAGGGTACTCCTTATCTGGCCTATTTTCAATGTATCGCCGATTTGGTCGTTAAACCTTCATCTAGGGCGTCCCTTCCCGACCCTGCCGTTCACTTCTGCAACATAAATTTGCTTTGTCATTCTCGTTCATTCTATCTACAAACCACCGAAGCATTCATAAGTTCATGTCATTAAGTGAAAGGAGTAAGAGCAAGTAAATGTATTAATTAAATTGACGTTAATTTTTATGTAGTGGCGATGTAAGTATAACCGTGCAGTGGCGGTGTAACAATATCCACTTCTCCATATCGACAGAGGGAAACAGGCAGGAGATGAGCAGCAGGATCTTTCTGATAACAACAAAAGTCCAATAAAAAAACTTCGGTTGCCAGCCCGCTGGCCAAGCGTGACAACTATGCCAAGCATCCCCCCATGAGAAACGACACGAATAAACGGCCCCCAGTCTCCGGCGGTCCTGCTATTCCTGGCTACGGTGGCGACCATGGTAACACCAAGGCAGGGGGTGCTAAAAATCTCCGGTCGAGGTTTGGCTGCCAATTGGACGACTCAACCTGGACTGACGAGAAGATCTGATCTCTGATCTGGACCAGGAAGAAGAAATATACAAGTTGCGTTGGAATATTAAAGGATTATCTGAGGACGGAAGAGTGGGGGTGGACATGATAATTCTCGAATCTGGCAACTTGTTCTATCGCCGGGAGGTCGACCATCTGTCTCAAGGAGAAGTTGGATTTATCGTCCATAAGTCTCTCGTTAACAACGTTATAAAGTTTGTGAGTGTGTCGACGAAGGTTGCGTACCTTATACTCAGAATCACCAAACGGTATTCGTTGAAGGTCATACAGGTTTACGCACCTATCTCGGCACATCCCGATGAGGAGGTGGAGGAAATGTATGAGGATATATCTATAGCCATGCATTCTTTCAAAACCCACTATACGGTGTTAATGAGAGACTTCAACGCGAAACTGAGCACAAGAGAGAACGGTGAGCTGAAGTTTAGGAATGCTAGAATTATGATTTTTAAGAAGTCGTATACCTACAAAAATAATCGGTAATTACTATTACAGCTAACAAGTTTATATAAAAAAAATCTTTATTTTATTTAAATATGGAAAAGAACAATTTTGATTTAAGTAGGTAATATTATAATTAATAGAATCAGGCGTTACTTTGCGGAAATCCATTATATAAAAGCTTTTAGAAAAATTTACTTCGCAAATATCCGCGTTATAAAATAAAATGATGTGTCTTACCTAGTATGAAGAGCACCTCCTGCCCTCCCTCAATTGCGTGCACTATCCCCGTCACCACTAATCCCAGCACCGCTATTCCCAACACCACTACACTAGGCAAGACACACCACTGACGATAATACGATACGTGTTTCGACTCTACACGAGGCATCCTCGGGTGATATAGACTCTACGGTGACTAACCGGTACGTGAGCGACGAGCCAAAACAAGTGCCTTTTATACAGACCGATGACGCAACCGCTTTCTACATAAGGAGCGAGCGACTGCGTCATGCGATAAAACATGCGACCAATCACCGCTGGACTTACGCAGCCGTTTGTAAAATTAAAAACAAACCGCCGCGCAACGCCCACCCTCCAACCACGCAACCAATCGCCGATGACCGTGAGGGTGACATGACCATATTGCGAAGCTCTCTATTATTAGAGAGCAGGCTTAAAGATATTTAAGAGAGGTGAGTTAGTAACATTTGTTTGTTCATTCAGCACTGCAACGGTATTATTATTACTTTTTAATATCTCTAACTGTTCCAGCACACACAGCCGCAGCCCTTTATTACACGTATGTAAGACTTTATAGGAGTGGTCATTGGCTAGGTTGTGTCCAGTGTCCAAAAGATGTTTGGCAAAATGGGATTTATCGGGATTGCAATTCCTGTACGCGGCTAAATGCTCTTTATAACTCATATCTGAAAAAGTAGCTAATACTCTTCTACAAAACGGCGTTCATGTGGCGTTCAAAACAAACAATTCTCTTAAAAATATCTGTAATAATAAAGATAAGTATACAAACTTGTTTGTGACGAATGCCACGCCGTTTACGTTGGTCAGACTGGTCGCAATTTCGAGACACGTTAATCATCAGTAAATTTAACTTAATATATTGCTAGTAAAATATTATAAAATGTGAAAATCTGACACATATTTTGTTTATTATATTCTAAAACATAATAAAAAGCAAATATTAAAATAAAATGTTAAGAAATGACGCTGATGCCATGTGATATGATATTATATATATATATATATATATATATATATATATATATATATATATATATATATTTATTTATATATATATATATATATATATATATATATATATATATATATATATATATATATATATATATATTGTTCGCGCCAAACGCTAATTTCAGGAACTAACGCGAGAGGACGCTTGCCTCGGTGCCATACCGATTTCGACGTCGGCCGAGCGGTGGGTTGAGAACGCGTAAAGGCGAAAGAGTCGTCTGTCAGCGGTGCTAACGTTAGCACGCTCTCATTTTTGTCGGAAACTCGGAATAATTAGGTGCGGACAGTAAATATACAGTCTAGGATTTGTGACGCCCATTCCTGCTGGAGAGCTTCCCAGGGACTCATTGTGTCTGACTCAGAATCTGCATAAGTGCATTCGGCAATATTAGCTAGTGCGGCCTTGATATTCTAGAAATAACTGTTGCTACGCGAAACGGTAGTGACCTTTGATCCGGAAACTCCGCGTGCGTTTTGTGCGTTAACCTTATATCCAACGAGAGTCAGTGGCTTCTGTAAGTTGGTTAATCGTACAATAGAGTTAATTGACTGTCATCGTGACGAACGAGGAAAGTGACTATGGACAACGTCGCGGAAGGTTCCCTCAATTTGGAGCGGTGTCGACGCCCGGGCTGCTGTCGACGGCCAAGGTCTAGGGTCAATCACCATCAGTCACACCCAGATACACATCACATCACCTTATTTCCCTTGCACTACACAACCACATGCGACCTGACCGACTCCGGAGGGACCAGTCGCCTTGGATATAGGTAAATAAGCTCCGTCTAATATTCTCCCGGTCGAATGGCCGTAGTATAGAACGCTCCCCCATATAGTTTGGTGTAATTAGAGATTTTCCACTTTGGCCTGGAGGAGGCCCGACCTACGTCTGCTCGTCGAAACTCAGCTGAATGGGCCCCTGAGGATTTGACCTATAAGGGAGCAGCCGTAGGTCGTAACACATATATATATATATATATATATATATATATATATATATATATATATATATATATATATATATCTTTATATATAAAAATTACGTGTAATATATTTATTAAAAAGATGTAGAAGTAAAAATTTTGTCTCCTAGTAAATCTCCTAGTAATCTTATACTTAAGGAACATTTTAAGGGACAATATTAATTAAAAGTAAATAAGATAGTCGAACAAGTCAACAGAACACAACCATAAAATTTAAGAAAGGAAAATTGACTGTTAAGGAACATTTATTAACATACAATAAAAAATAATCAAACAACATTAAAATTAAAAAGGATGAGAATTTACTTGTTATTGCAAGACAAACTATCGTGACATTTTGAGTTACAAAGGTAACCATTTTTCATGCAGAGACACCTTTTTGTCATACATCCTTTCATGCATACGCAGCGCATAAATCCTTTGCCTGTTCCTATGTCTGCTTCCTTAGTTACAGTTCCCAAAGGTAAATTTATATTCGGAACATCTTCTTCATGCAAAAATTTATCTTTGCACTTGTCGAATTCTGACCTGAAAAGCATAGCATAGATATCGTTATATGATAAAACAACACATGCACATAGATATATAGTACATATCTGCAATATAATTTGTCGAGCATTCCATATTGCGTTTCTATCTTGTGAAAACCCTGATCATTTTTTTGAAGTACCACTCCGACTATATTACGTAGAACTGCTTTTCCTCTGTCGACATCAGGGATTTGCATAATTACATTACCACCGATTTCTCGTGAAACGTGTATTGTATCTGAAGTCAAAGTCATTCTCTGGGCCTATTTTTTAAGTTTTGACATGATGTTTCTCTGGATGCCATTATTTGTCGATTCACATTTGTTACAACTTCAAGGTCTTTGCGTTTGGTGGTATTATATGAGACTCTACAATCGTAGACGCTTCAGCTTCAATGTCATATTAACTGCCTTCTGCTGCGATTGGCAATCCTCCACTTGTTTTGGATGAACTTTCTGCGTCTTTTTGTTTGGCTCCGGTTGTAATCTGATGCTGTCAACTGCAACTAGCTACAGGCTCAGTTCTGCATTATTGGTACTAACCGTCACATTTATTTTATTTAACGCAGTTTCTAGATCACCTTCATTTCGTATATCTTCAATAATATCCCGAGGCAAAGTCGAAGTCATAAGTTCAACTCGCAGTTGTATACCAAACATTGCTTTGTATGGTAACTGTTTAGTACCGGAATGAAGTGCTCGATTTTTCATAAACTTTACAAAGCGAATACCATTTGACCAATTTGTAGGTTTGTTATCTTGCAGCCATGAAGCCAACACTTTCTCTATGTCTTGGTTAGCCCTTTCAACAGATCCTTGGCTTTGACTGTGTCTTGGCTTTCCATAGACCAGTTTACACTCGAGCCAATATCTCTCCATCGCGTTCCTTCATTTAACTTTGCCATGACAATTGCGCTCGAATTAATATATACGTGTTTATCAGAATAAAAACAAAGCGGGACTGAACGGAGCGAGCACACAGCGCGCAGACGGTACTTGGAAAGGGTTTCTCCTGCACCGCCCCGTAACCTAAGTCGTTTAACCTTGGTCCGAACAGTTCTAACTGACTCGCTTCGGAAAAACGCGGTTTGTCTTGTAATAACTAGTTTTACCTGATTAAATTTTGAGCATTAGTTAATTCTAATTATAACAAAGGCATTCAGTAAAAACTAGTTTTAACTAGGGAAAACGCGTTCTATCTAAAAACTGGTTTTAACTGAAACATTTATATTAAATTTTTAGTTAGCTTCTATAAAAAAATTATTGTGGCCTCTTGTATTTATATTTATTTATTTTTAGTCACGTCCGGTATTACGTCTTTTCCGTTATTATGTCCGGCCAACGACTAAAACGCTTAAACGTGAACAGACGTGAACCTTTAAACGTGATTTCCGAGGCACGAGGGTGAAACATCGTCAACTTCCCGACTTTGGGTTGCGACTGGGAGTATCTTGATAGAAAAACCCAATAATTGATTTTGGCCCGACTCGGGATTCAAACCCAGGATCAGCAGCCGAGTTTACGACCACTAGACCAACGGGGCAGATGAGACGTGATTTTACACATACGAATACTGCTGCAGATTCGCTAATAATAACACATTTTAAATACGTTACGTAGCAACTGTAAGTCCTTATAAGTACAAAGATATTCATTTATTAACATAAATTAATTAAGATCATCTCAGTCTAAATATGAGAGAAAACCCAAGTGAAATATATTGATGGAATTTCGTCAGACGCGTCCCGGTTACGTCTGTAATTGAATAATTGAATTCAAACATCGTTACAGTGAAGTACGTGTTAGAGAGGATGCTTATTTTGTGCCGCTCATTTAATAGAATACGTTAATAAACTATACGTTAATCTTTGTATATAAAAATTACGTGTCACATTGTTTGTCCGCGATGGAGTCCTAAGTTACTGAACTAATTTTAATGAAATTTTGCACACTGTATGCAGTTTGGTCCAACTTGAGAGATAGGATAGTTTTTATCCCGATACCCTCAATTTTTTTATCGCAAATCTCAGGAGTTTTTTTAGGAAAGCAAATGGTCTTCGGAAAGGGCAGAACAACGTCTGCCTTGTCAGCTAGTATACTATACGTAAATATGCTATATCATAATGTTATATCCTTGGGTGAAAGGGAGGGAGGTAGGATTTCATGAAATAACTCTAAGGTGTAGCGAAGTTGATAAATGATAATTAATTCATTTATTTTTCGATAAAATATTTTTTTTTCGTTAAAAATGAGGGTGACATGCGAGCACACGTTACACGTTATAGTAAGCGGATGCTGTGGCCTATATACATCTATCATCGATTAAGAATCAAAATGCAGATGCATTGTCACCTTTGAGTACTAAGCTTATATACTTTGTTTCCTGTAAAAATAATGGTTTCGGGATCTCTACCCTCACCATAAGAAAATTAGGAATATTAAGATGTTATTTTATGCTATTGTTCTGTGAGAGCATGGACCGTTCCCGGTTGAACTGATCCATACATACTATAACAATAAAATAGCTGCAGCGTGGCTATATTCAAGGTTGGTTATAATAAAAATTATATTTAAAATTGTAGCAAAAGTTTGTAAATTGTGTGATATGAAGAAATGTGCTTAAAATTTATAGTCTTTAGAAATAATTAAAAAAAATCATCGTATCTATTCTTACCTTAGTACGAGGGAATCACAAAATTTTTAGACTTGTAAGAATATCCATAACCCTACATCATTCCATGGTGATATTAAGAGGCGACAGAGGGGAACAAACCAGGATATGGCAACAGAGTCATCCTTATAACAACTAAAACATGAAAACTTTCAGTTGTTAACTGTCTGTTATGTGGGTCAACTATGGCAAATATTCTCTCTATGATGCTATTTATGGGAAATGACTACGTCCAGCAGTGGACTTTGGATAGGCTTTAACGATAACGGTAACAGTATCATACTCAGTAAATCTCTCGGTAAAATTATGTCTTCACAATAATCAACATAAAAATCATAGAAATCATGTGAGAATGTTAGTACTTTCAATCGTATGTATACACGCATCACGTTGACTTCGTCGTGAAGTTGAACAATAGAGTGCTCCACTTATGTCAAGAACAGAATAATTAGCTCCTAGTTTTCTTGCATAATGTTTTGCGTCATGTGCTAGCTTTTATGATGTCTTTTCAAGACATTAGCTGCCTTTACACGGAACGTGTTTTCAGTTGCGACCGGAGTGTGCGCGATTGAACGCGGTAAAGCTTGCACGCGCAATCGTGAATGATTGTTATTAACCATTTTTATTTGCGTTGACTCTTTCACGCGTCATTACTTCTTTATTTTATTCAGAGTAGGAAGAGCGTCGTGTTAAGGCTAATCGCGCGTGATCCAGTACGGGAAATTTCCGCGACCTGGAGTGTATGAAAATCACACAGTTTGTTAAACGCGCATTCTGAAGACTAATATTTTAAAGAAATTGACAAATGGGTTAAAAGGGATATTATACAAGCAAATGGTCTAAGCGTATAATAGATTATATATTTAGAAATTTATTTTTATATTAACTATTTTTAATATATCTACTATATAAAAATAAGTCGGGTTTTCCTTCCTGACGCTATAACTCCAGAACGCACGAACCGATTTCCACGGTTTTGCATTCGTTGGAAAGGTCTTGGGCTCCGTGAGGTTTATAGCAAAGAAAATTCAGAAAAATTTCAACAGAAAAGCGGGAAAATCTTTTTTCACATACAGCGCTATCTCTGATACATAGCATGTACTACAAACCAATATTTTAAGTAGATGGCGCCGGTGCGTTTTACGGATTTTATCGCGTATATTAACTTAATTTCAACTTTATTTTTTTTTTAATAACATTAATTTTGACAGTTTCATAAACAGATTAGTCAGACCTATGGTCAAGCCAAAGAGTATAGTAGGTCAGGCCAAAGACAATTTTTTTTTAAATGAAGGTAAATATAACTTAGAGTCATTACTAAGTTCTTATCCAAATATAAATATTAATATAAAATAATAATAATTATTATTATTTTATATTAATATTTATTCGGAACATTCTTTCTTTTATATCTTTAGAGTCGATGATACAAATGAGCCAAATGAAACATATCAGTGTTTCGGAATATTTCAGTGATCAAGATGCAAATGTTCCAATCCCAAAAATGATACATTTTGCCCACCTCCACAGTGTACCGTACAAGGTAGATGAATAACTAATTTTATTTCTAGAAAATTGTATTGATGTCCAACGTCCACGACAGCGAAATATGATAGTAGGTACGAACGGGACATATTATGCAAAAATACCGATACGAGTACAATAATAAACATAAATAAAAATATTTATCTTTGTACTGACTAATTTAGTAACCATTAAATAAATACAGCAATTGTTAATGGAATATTTTCCTACAAATAATTGTGTGTATTTTATTTAATTCTGACCTAGAGATTTAGAGTAAATTGACGGTTCTCATACCTAGCCTAATTTGTAGCATTTTGACTCTCTTATCATGCTTTGCTAGGAAAGTGTCGAATTCCCACTAACCCTGTATAATATGGTTTTTAGCGGGAGAGTAAATTAATTAGATTTTTGTGTTTGATTAATAAACATCGTTTCATAAATTCGTACCCATGTTTTATTGAGCTAAAACATACCTTATAATTATCGCTTACGTAATATTTACAAATACTTACATAATCAAATTAATAACTTAAGTATAACAACGCATAGGCGTCAATTTTACGCTTGGCATAATGGGCATTGAGCGATACACGTGCTCTATACCTTCCTTATTTGTACTCTAAGTTCTGAATACTCTTTATTTATTGTTCTAAGGGGGCCATTAATTAAATTACTTTATTATATACTCTTTGGAGGGGATCATATTTCTGACAAGTCAGAAATCCAAATGGATTTTTCGGATTTTGAAGGGTATTTCATGTGACAAACCGGTATTGTGTTCACTGTGAAATTGTGAAAAAAAAGTAAAAAAAATTAGTTATTCGTTTCCTAACATTTACCATCAAATCAATCACGTGTATTGTGCAAATTTTTATTCAATTTCAACAGCAGGCATTTGTCTTTAATGTGGTAAGTTGAACTGTGTAAATTATGTGGATCGTGCATTTGAGGTTAAATTCACCACTCTGTCCATAGTCCAAGATGCCTAGAGGACGACGTTTGAACATCGGCCGCCGCACAAGACATGCAAGCCAGCAACAAGCGTATTCACAGAACTTAAGCGAAGAAAGACAAAATATAATAAGAGAAAATGCCCGATTGAGACAACGCGTGAGCACACGAAGATCATTGGCATCATACAATCGCTTGGCATTCCAATATGATCCCACTGCGAACTACAGTGATGATGAAAATTTAGATATTGGACAAATGACGACTATATGCCGATATTGCAATGCGTTAAAGTTCAAAAGAGAAACGGCTGGATTGTGCTGCGCAAGTGGAAAAGTCAAACTGGATCCATTACTTACACCACCACAGCCACTGCAACCATTGTTCGATGGAAGTGATCCCGATTCCAGCCATTTTCTTCAACACATCCTTGAATACAATAACTGCTTTCGCATGACTTCCTTTGGAGCTAATATCATTCGAGAAGGCGGCTTCATGCCGACTTGCAAGGTAAAAGATACAACACACATAACCAATCACTCACACCAACATAATGAATTGCAACACATAACAACTACATATACACCACACACTACATCATCACACGATCAGAAGTTACACCGTATTCTTCAACAAATGATTGTTTGCAATTACAGATATAAGGACAAATATATCATTTGCATGGTTCAATGGTGCCAACACCAGATGAACCGCATCAATTTCTGCAAATATATTTCATTTCGTCGATGGTGGATCAGCTGAATGTGCGGTGCAATATACAGGGAACACAACAGTTAAAGAGACGAATTATTGAACAGTTGCAAGCATTTTTTCACGCTAATAATGCTGTGGTTAATATGTTCAAAACAGCATTGGAACGAATGCCATCGGATACGCACAAATTTGTCATAAGAGCTGATTGTACCCCAACAGGTGAACATGTGCGAAGATTCAATGCACCCACCGTTAATGATGTTGCTGCAATTATTGTTGGCGATCCAACTAAGTTGCGAGACATTGTCGTTCAGCGAAGAAGCAATATCATGCATCGTGTAAACGAGACACATCGTTTGTACGATGCGTTACAATATCCAATCATTTATTGGCAAGGGCAAGACGGATACGAAATTACGTTGAAGATGGTCGATCCAATTACAGGTACAATATTCACACACTAATTATTGCTATTATTGGTTTCCATTAACAATTCATTTAATTTTGCATTTTCAGGCATATCAACGAATAAAAATCTAAGCGCAATGAATTACTATGCGTATCGTATGATGATTCTTACACATGAGAAGAATGTCATTCTGAAGTGCCGTCGGCTATTCCAGCAATTCGCTGTCGACATGTATGTCAAAGTCGAGACCGAACGTTTAGCGTTCATCCGATTCAATCAGGCAAAGCTACGATCTGAGGACTATATACACTTGCGTGATGCTATTCATTCAGATGGTGATGTTCAAAATATTGGACGTCTGACGATTCTCCCATCATCTTATATCGGAAGCCCACGCCACATGCACGAATACGCTCAAGACGCTATGACGTACGTGCGAAATTATGGAACTCCGGATTTATTTATTACGTTCACATGCAATCCGAAGTGGACGGAAATTGAACGTGAGTTGGAACCGGGCCAAAAACCGCAAGATCGCCATGACATAATCGCCAGAGTATTTCAGCAAAAACTCAAGGTTATGATGGATGTGCTTACTAAGTATCGAGTTTTTGGTGATACACGTTGTTATATGTACTCGGTGGAATGGCAGAGGCGTGGACTACCGCATGCTCATATCCTAATTTGGCTGCTGAACAAATTACATTCAAATGAAGTGGATTACATCATATCAGCTGAAATTCCTGATCCAGTCACTGATCCCCATCTACACGACATTGTGACGACACACATGGTGCACGGACCGTGCGGTGCATTAAATCCATTATCGCCTTGCATGGCTGATGGAAAGTGCACAAAACGATATCCGCGACCGTTAGTTACTGAAACAGTCACAGGGAACGATGGATATCCAGTTTATCGTCGGTGTTCAAAAGAAGATAATGGTCGAACTATCAAAGTTAAAGTTCAAAATCAAGAGATTGAGATCGGAAATGAATTCATTGTACCATATTGCCCGCTGCTATCACGAATTTTCGAAACACATGCAAACGTTGAGAGTTGTCATTCGGCCAAATCAATCAAATATTTGTGCAAGTACGTCACAAAAGGCAGCGACATGGCTGTGTTTGGTATTGCGTCGGAAAATGCGAATGACGAAATCAGCAACTTCCAAATGGGCAGATACGTCAGTACTAATGAAGCACTGTGGCGATTATTGTCATTTCAAATTCATGAAAGATATCCCACAGTTGTACATTTAGCAGTGCATTTGGAAAATGGCCAAAGAGTTTACTTCACTGAGGCTAATGCGGCACAACTAGCTGAGAGACCACCATCGACAACATTGACTAGCTTCTTTGCAATGTGTGAAGCAGATCCATTCGCAGCGACGCTGATGTACGTTGAAATGCCCAAGTATTACACTTGGAATCAATCAACAAAGAAATTCCAACGTCGCAAACAAGGAACCCCAGTTCCAGATTGGCCACAGGTGTTTTCCACTGATGCACTAGGTCGCATGTATACTGTTCATCCTAGAAATGATGAATGTTTTTATTTGCGACTGCTGTTGGTAAATGTACGTGGACCAAAATCATTTGCGCATTTGAAAATTGTGAATGGCCACCAATGCCAAACATATCGAGAAGCATGTCAACTATTGGGTTTGCTGGAGAACGATTCTCATTGGGATTTAACACTTGCGGATTCAGTTGTTTCATCAAATGCGTACCAAATACGAACTCTGTTCGCAATTATCATCACCACATGTTTTCCTTCACAACCAATTCAGTTATGGAACAAATACAAAGACGACATATGTGAAGATATCTTGCATCGCTTGCGCATTCAAACGAATAATCCTGACATCCAAATAACCGATGAAATCTACAATGAAGGATTGATTCTGATTGAGGATCAATGCTTGACCATTGCAAACAAGCTACTGATTGAAGTAGGAATGATTGCGCCAAATCGATCGATGCACGATGCATTCAACCAAGAATTAAATAGAGAGCTGCAATACAATGTTGATACATTGCAGGAATTCGTTCGAAATAATGTGCCGTTGCTGAATGACAAGCAAAAAAAAGGATACGAAACATTAATGCAAGCGGTGGACAATAATACTGGTGGTCTATTCTTCCTGGACGCACCTGGAGGAACAGGGAAAACATTTGTCATTTCATTGATTTTGGCCACTATTCGATCAAGATGTGACATAGCTTTGGCCTTAGCATCATCTGGAATTGCGGCGACTCTTCTAGATGGCGGTCGTACTGCACATTCTGCGCTTAAGTTGCCACTCAATTTAAACACAATTGATACTCCAACATGCAATATTTCCCGATCCAGTGCAATGGGAAAATTGTTGATGCAATGCAAGCTCATTGTTTGGGATGAGTGCACAATGGCACATAAGAAATCACTTGAAGCACTTAACTTCACACTGAAGGATCTTCGGCGAAATAACAACATCTTTGGCGGTTTGATGATATTGTTGGCAGGCGATTTCAGGCAGACGTTGCCAGTAATTCCCCGTGGAACGCCTGCAGATGAATTGAATGCTTGCCTGAAGGCATCACCTTTATGGAATAACGTAAAAACATTATCGCTAACCACTAATATGAGAGTTCAACTTCAAAATGATCAAAGTGCTGCACAATTTTCTAAACAATTGTTAGCTGTTGGAAATGGAAAAGTCCCAGTTGATGCAACATCTGGATTAATTACTCTTACCAACGACTTTTGCCGATTTGTAGACTCTCAATTAGCTCTTATTGAAAATGTTTTCCCAAACATAAGTGATAATTATCAGAATTATGCTTGGTTAAGTCAACGAGCAATTCTTGCCGCAAAGAATAATGATGTACACGCACTGAATTTCACCATTCAATCAAAAATTGCTGGCGATTTGTTGACATACAAATCCGTTGATTCCATAACAAATCCCGATGATGTAGTAAATTATCCAACGGAGTTTTTGAACTCTCTGGAGTTACCAGGATTTCCACCACATAACTTGCAACTCAAAGTTGGTACAGTTATTATGATATTGCGTAATTTGAATCCACCGCGACTTTGCAACGGTACTCGACTTTCGGTGAAAAGACTTATGCCGAATTTGATTGAGGCAACCATTATTAACGGAAAGTACGTAGGTGAAAATGTATGTATTCCTCGAATACCAATGATTCCGACTGATCTTCCGTTTGAATTCAAGCGATTGCAATTTTCAGTTCGCCTTGCGTTTGCGTTTGCGTTTTTCACATGGGCAGTTATACGTTGCGTGTTCACGAGTTGGGAAACCATCCGCTTTGTTTGTGTTAACGTCAGACCAAAAAACAAAAAATGTGGTTTACCAAAGAGCACTTCAATGAAACGGATAATTTGCGGTCACGTATAATAACGCTTCGATTCAGTATTTACTTTGGATTCACTTTCATTTACTTAGAGAAGTTCAACTAAATAACACTTCATTTTTGTAATCGAAATGAATTCATTACTGTTGTGAAATGAAATAAAATGTTTCCTTTTCAAATATAAAACAAAAATAAAATTTTTCTTCATCTTTGAATCACCAAACGAATAGTTACATAAAACGAAGCCACCTGGTGGCGAAACGGAGTTCGCCGGGTTTGCTAGTAATTAAATAAAATCAAACATAAGACAGCATGCATGAGACACATATTGCCGAGAATTTTGTAATAAGATCCTTAATGTCTCATAATCCAATGTCCGCAATTTTACGACGGGAATTGTTTTCACAAAACCGTACGTGTAAATTATGTTTGAAGTGCACAGACTTCAACGCATGACAGGTATGAGGGGATGTGTGAGCAGGCGGCGCGCACGTGTATTCTCGTTTTCATTTTCTATCTTTACATGCGCGTTCTTCCTTGCGCGAAAGGCAATTCATGCGTTAAAGAGCGTACGTAATCTAATACATTTTGTCGGGTCATAAGTTCTGTCAAAACATTATTATTTATTAATATTTTTGAATACCTGTTAGATGAACTTCACCAATTTTAAAAATATAACGTTTACGCTTGCCGAAAATAAACGAAAGATTAATTTTCATAAATTTTCAAATATGGAGTGGTCGAATAAAGCAAATAGAGTGGCAGTTATCGCGTTGCACCGCTGTGGTTACGAGCCAAAAAATATTTTCAATATTCTATAAAAATTGAAAATAACCCTACGATTTGTTTATCTCACTATCAAACGATTAACTGAAAATTCAAGCTTCAAAGCAGTGAAGGCGCGAATCCAACTAAATCCTGTTTGTAAACAAAAAATATTAGCTCTTCAGGTGGGTCTAAGGAGAATCACGGTAAAAAGAGTGATCAATGAAGACCTAGAACTACGAGCTTATCGTAAGAAGACCGAACATTTTTTTAACGAGCGTTTGAAAAAAATTAGGCTGGATAGATCCAGCGCTATGTTACGGCGGTAAGCGGGAAATAATGCCGCGAAATTTTGTTTTCGGGTGAAAAAAATTTTAACATCGTAGAAAGTTATAATAAACCAAATGATAAGATATATGCCCACAGCAGTGAAGAAGCCAGCACGTGTATTCCGAGGGTTCAACGAGGACATAATCCTTCGTCACTAATGTTTTTTTTTTATAGGAGAGGGGGCAAACGAGCATGCGGCTCACCTGATGGTAAGTGACTACCGCCGCCCATGAACAACTGCAACACCAGGGGAATGGCAGATGCGTTGCCGGCCTTTTAAAAAGGAGTACGCTCTTTTCTTGAAGGTCCCTAAGTCGTATCGGTCCGGAAAAATCGCTAATGGTAATCGATTCCACAAGGAGGTCGTGCGAGGAAGAAAACATCTTCTAAATCGCACAGTGGTGGACCACCAATCATCCAGATGGTGTGGATGGTATCGGGAGTTCTGCCGCGATGTGCGTTCGTGAAATTTGGCGGCTGGGATTAATCCGAACAATTCCTCAGAGCACTCCCCATGGTAGATGCGAAAGAAAATGCAAAGGGATGCAACATCTCTTCGCAGTGCCAATGAATCGAGCCGATCGGAAAAAGCCGGTCGTCGACAATTCGAGCTGCTCTGCGTTGGATGCGGTCAAGTGGAAGGAGCTGGCACTGGGGAGCCCCTGCCCAGAGATGGGAACAGTATTCCATGTGAGGCCGAACTTGCGCCTTGTAAAGTAGCAGGCGGTGTGCCGGCATGAAATACTGTCCCGCTCTGCTGAGCACGCCAAGCTTTTTAGAGGCCAATTTGGCCTTCCCTTCCAAGTGACCACGAAACTGCACGTCACTCGATATGTCGACTCCGAGGATACCGATACTGGCAGAGGCAAGAAGGGGAGTGCCTTGAAACTGAGGAGATACGACAAAGGGGTTGTTTTTAGCGGTAAACGCGCAAACTTGTGTCTTCTGAGGATTAAACTGGACTAGATTTAGTCGCCCCCAATCCGAGACTTTGTTCAGCAAAGACTCGACTTCAGACACAAGTTTGTTCCGGTACTCAGCGACGTTTTCCCAAGAAATATTGGCACGGCCGGTGTATAGAGCATCACCAGTGCTGTCATCCGCATAGCAATGAATGTTACCAGTTAGCAACATATCGTTGATATGCAGAAGAAACAGCGTTGGTGATAGCACACAGCCTTGTGGAACACCAGCGTTAATAGGCTTGTAGTCAGAGCATGCACCGTCTACAACGACCTTGATGCTCCGATCTGCAAGGAAGCTGGTGATCCAATTGCACAATTTCTCGGGAAGCCCATAGGAAGGGAGCTTCGAAAGAAGCGCTTTGTGCCAAACCCGATCGAAGGCCTTCGCAATGTCCAGACTAACGGCCAACGCTTTTCCCTTGGACTCTACTGCCTCCGCCCATCTATGGGTCAGGTAGACCAGAAGATCACCAGGTGATCAACCCTGTCGAAAACCGTATTGGCGGTCACTAATCAGCTGGTGATCCTCAAGGTACCGGATGAGCTGTCAGTTAATAATGGATTCCATTATTTTGGAGAACAAGGAGGTGATCGCGATAGGCCTATAGTTGGATGGGTCTGAGCGGTCGCCTTTTTTAGGGATCGGGTGGACAAAAGCTGTCTTCCATGAATTCGGGACTACGCCTTGGGAGTAGGAGTACCGGAAAAGACGCGTTAGCACCGGTGCCAACTCCGGAGCACACGTCCTCAGCACAATTGGGGGGATTCCGTCAGGCCCACTCGACTTCTGGACGTCCAGGGAGAGCAGTGCTTTGCGAACCGAGCGCTGTAAGAACAGCACATCCGGCATGGAGCACTCACACCGCGGGATGGTCGGCGGTGTTTTCCCCCCGTCATCAAGAGTCGAGTTGGACGCAAAAAGGGAGCCTAAAAGGTCGGCTTTGTCTTTTGCGTCATGGGCCAGTGAGTCATCCTCCCTGTGCAGAGATGGTAGTGATGGCTTACAGAAATTCCCTTGGACAGCCTTGGCGAGAGACCAGAATGCACGGGTTCCCGAAGGAAGGCGAACTAGTTTCTCGCCAATTCTGCCTATGTGCTCTGACTTTGCCTTGGCAATAACTCTTTTGAAGGACCTGGAGGCGAAGTTATAGTTCTTTTTAAGTGTGCTGGTATTTACATCCCGAGTCGCCGAAGCTGCAGCCCAGGCTTGATAACACTCCTGCTTACTGCGTAATGCAGTCTTACAGGAGCGACCAAACCAAGGCTGAGATCTGCCTCCGATGGGTACCACAGATGATGGAATAAATAGTTCCATTCCCTGTAGCACCACATCAGTGACAGAGTCAGCAACAGCGCTGGGATCATCCGGCGAGAAGCAAACCCGCCCCCATGGGTAGGATGCAAAGTAGGACCGCATTCCGTCCCAATCCGCCGACCTGTAATGCCAAACACGGCGGCAACCTGCAGAACGCAACCGCGAAGGGAGCGTGAGTGGCACCACACTCCGGATCAGACAATGGTCCAAAGAGCCGAGAGGGGCATCGACGGAAACCTGATATCCGTCCGGATGAGAGGTCAGCAGAAGGTCCAACAGGGAAGGTGTATGATCCTCCAAATCTGGAATCCGCGTAGGCGAAGTAACCAGTTGTGTCAGACCATATGCCAAGGCAAAGTCATAAACAGATCTCCCCGCATGATCGGTTAGACGTGAACCGAGCCATTCGGCATGGTGGGCGTTAAAATCGCCAAGGATCACGATCTCTGCGGATGGGATCTGTTGTAGCAAGAAATCTGTAGCCATTTGGACGTGGTCGATGAGTCGGTCTGTTTCGGCATTACCGCTATGGGACCTATAGAGGCACCCGTAGACGCGCGGATGGTCGTCGCTGTCTACGCGTAGCCAAAGGATGGACAGGTCCGAACCTTCAAGACTGCCGAGGCGTCGAGAACAGATGTCCTCTCTGACATACACGCAAACTCCAGCCCGAGGCACAAAGGAATGCTCCAACTTGTACCCCGGGTAGGAGAGATACGAAATATCAGCCGGAGAGGAAACCTGCGTCTCGGTCAGAAAGAGCAAGGCCGGCTTCGCCGTCTCGAGATGGTAGTGGACGGCGTTTAGGTTAGAGTGAAGTCCCCACATGTTGCAGAAATTCACGGATAGCGTGGCAGGGGTCGCCTTGGTGTTCTTGCTCAGTTTGCCCCTAGCAGTAATGCTTTTGAGCGGAATTTTGCCCCCCCCCCCAGAATACGCGGGGCAGCCTGAGCACCCACGCTCAGGATCGGAATAACATGGTCGTGGATGCTCAGCGAGGGATTCTCCAGGGGTGCTGGTACCCTCCTGGGGTAGTTCTTCGTGTAATTCCGCTACCATGTTGATGGTGGGGGGGGACTTGGGCCTCCGGCCACCTGCACTCACCAGACGAAACGCAAAAGCAAAGCTTCTACTTCACGCCGGTATTCTGTGAGGTCGTGGTACCACTCCGGCTCGAGCCGGCCCATACATGCAACAACAAAAACTGCTGCGTGGCTCTACCACCGTTAATACCGGTATTTTTCTCTGATAAAGGTGTAAAAACCAGTGCCGAGGTGTACCAAAATACCGTCCTAACAAACATAGTGAAACTTCTTTCTCAAACATTTTTCAAAAACAGACATTGGATATTCCAACAGGACTGTGCACCAGCTCATAGGGCACGAAGTACGCAAAACTGGTTGTACGCCCGTGGAATTGACTTTATCGGATATAAAGACTGGCCCTCTTCTAGTCCACATTTAAACCTACTGGATTACAAGATATGCCAACATTTGAAGAAGAAAGTCTTTGCTAAACCTCAACAGAATTTGGAATCTCACCGAGCGTGTTGGCTAAAGCATCGGCAGAAATAGATACGAATGTGGTGCGTGCTGCGATCGATAATTGTCCGCGTCGGTTAGGGGCATGTATTCAAAATAGAG